TCTACGTATGTTTTCCCACGTGACGCAGCGGAGCGTGACCTTGCCTGCACAGGTGAGTCAGTGGTTGTTTTGAACTCTGTATGGATGGACATTAAAACAGATTCCACAGAACTGAATTGATTGACCTATGAATTTATAAACAATAATTTAAATTAAATAGTTTTAATTTTAATGGATACTTTGTGTCAAAATAACTTGCACAGTAGAACCTCCCTTTAGCGGACATCCTGCTAGCGGACACCTCTCCACAAAGGACAGTTTTCATTTGAAAAATTACCATTTTTCAATTTATCAACTCTCCGATAAGAGGACACCTCTCCCTAAAGGGCTCTTTGGCTTTGCAATTAGGTGTTGTCCTTTACAGGGAGGTTCTACTGTATTTAAAACTGCATCTTTATAATTATACCTATTTGTTAAAGTAACAAGCTCGCTAAAAAAACCTGGGTTCAGCTGGCCCGGCTGATAGTACCCTGTAAGGGTACAGGATGAGCAGCGTTTTTTACTCCATGTTAGGAGCGGTCTGCACATGGCGTCTGTTCCTCATGTCAGAGGCGGCCATTTTTTTTTGGAGCTAAGTCGGCCTGCCACTGAGTAGTGCTCCCAGTCTTAATGACAAAGGCAGACGCATTCTACTTCACCCAGTCATGATGGTTGTCAAATACCATCAAGGGTCACAATTTGATACCCTAATGATTGAGTGGAGATAAGAAAGAAGAAGAAGACTTCCACTGACCCCCTTTTCCTCCTTTTTAAATACCATATATGGGGTCGGTGGATGAGTGGTATACACCATTGATGTCCGACATACATGACATGGGATTGAGTCTCACATTGGAAATTTTTTTTCTCAATAAAAGTTGCTTCAATAGCCTCCGATTCTTGCAAAAGTCCAATCACACCAGCGAGTGTACGTAACCAAATGGGGCTCTTGCACATTAGTAAGTGCAAAGTCAAACTGCTCTCTAAATTGGATTTGGTCTTATTACCTTGTGTTTATAATCTATAATTCAAATTGTGCGTTATCATGTTTCTAATGTGTAGACATGTAGTGCACTTACAGTAAAAATAGTTGCCAACTACTACAGACCATGATTATCATGGCCTGTACCATGTGTGTACTAGGGATAATAATAAAAAATTACAACAAATAAACCATCCCTAAATACTTTTGTCCAAATTTTTATAATACTCAATTTGTTACAAACCACGGAAATTTCAAAAGTTTTAAAAATAGAATAAAGGCAGTGGAGGATTCAAGTTGCTTTTAGTGGTATGGAGGAACAAACCTCAAGACATCTACTGATCGATTGTCCAGCATTTCAAGAATATAGAATGAAGAATGAACTAGTTGTTTGTGAACTTAACGATTTGATTTCCGATAAAAAATCATATTTAAAGTTCAATTCATTTTGTAAATACATTATAAACTTTCTACAAAATCTGGATCTCTAGTATTTTCATGCGTTGAATATGTAAATAACTTATGTAAATAACTTTTCTCCTTGTTTGGTGCAAGTATCCCTTGCGGGATATAGCGCTTTGGAAATAAAATAATTAATTTGGGTTAACAAATATAATTTTTTTAATATAACATAATGTATACCCCACAATCTCATTATAAATACTTTCTTTATAACACCCAACTTGGTTATAACATCATAATTCTAAAGTCTTCCAAGTTAGAATTATTCTATATACAGTTACGAGCGTCATGCGTTCTTAATTCTTCAGTTTTCATCTCTGTCACCGTTTGCTTATTTTTTGGAATGGCGCTCTCCTATTGGTTGACTACGATCACGCCACCTTTGCCCCCCCCCACTCGCTTTTTGGTTTTTGTAACCAATTTATAATTGTAACAAATAGTATTTGAATAAAAACATTCAATCGGGTAAAACACGGGCGTTGCCCGGGTCATCGGCTAGTTGTTATATATAAAGCATTTAAGAGTGAATTCCTCACTTTTTAAAAATGAGTTCGTCGCCTTTAAAAGAGTGCTACCTCGACTGCTCTTTCCTTCTTTCTTTTTCAAGAGCCACACGATATGGATTTAATGATGGCCTGTATCTATATGGATAATGCAACAGCGCACACATCCACAGAAACATCTGTTAGTCTGATAAGAAGCAACGTGAAGTTTTTGTCACCATATTCATATATGCTAAATCCAATCAAATTTTCATTTAGCAAAATTAAAACATTGGTCGCTGCTTCCTCCACGTGACATCACATTAGGCAAGGTTATCACTGATGCAATCAGTAGAATTACATCAGGAAACTGTGAAGGATGGTTTGCTCGCATTCACAAAAATTGCTTCCTGGCCACACAAGAACACCAGTTTATCAAATGAAATCTGTTTCTAATTTATTTCGTGGTTATTTGCTCCTATATTAGTGTTTTTGAACTTAATATGTCAAATGTATTTAATTAATCTTTATGATATTCTCTTCTGATTTTTACACTTAACAATCTTATTTTTAAAGGCAACAAATTCATTTTTAAAAGTGATGAATTCACTCCTAAGATGCCATATATAAACTGTGGTTATAACAACCACAAAAACTTGGCCCAAGTGGTTGCTATAGCGTAGTTTGACTGTATATTTTTCCATTGAAAAAAAAGTCACTGTATAGGTTGTTAAAGCAGTAAAATAAAAGTTGAAGGTGGGTGTAATTTTTTCTCAGTTTCACTTAAAACAGCTCGATATATTATGAAAAAAGGAATCTCCTTATCGTGCAACTGAAAGTTGCTGATGGCTTGCGCCATCTATCGGAATAAATATCAACTATTCTCGTTGATTTTTAATTATTCCAGAATTGGCCAAATACCCATTCTTGATTAATCAAGAAAAGCTAACCACGGACGTAAAACCACCATCAGCAACTTTCAGTTGCATGATAAGGAGATGCCTTTTTTAATAATTTATGCACCTTATCCCAGTACAATGTCACATATTAAAAATGGCATATCCTGATCAGGAGCACATGTGCTTTACAGAAGGCAGAGCTCCATCTGGTGGAACAGAAATCAACTAAACATTGATTTAGCCTGTTCCCTGATATTTAGCCAACCCAATTTCTTGATAAATCAAGAAAAGCCATCCACGAACGCGTTTTGCGCTTTTGGCACTCATCAGCGTGGAGTAGGCTGAACCATTGCGACCAAAAAAGATTTTTTTGATCCCAATGGCTTCCCGAAAAACCAAGAAATGGGTATTCAAGGCCAAACTTGCGTAAATACGCTTAGCACATTAAAAAACGAAAGAAAAAAATAAAAGATAAAAAGATCAGGTGTTGATTTATCAAGAAATTGGGTTGGCCAAATATCAGGGAACAGGCTAAATCAATGTTTAGTTGATTTCTGTTCCACCAGATGGCGCTCTGCCTTCTGTAAAGCACATGTGCTCCTGGTCAGGATATGCCATTTTTAATATTGATTTCAACACCTGATCTTTTTATCTTTTATTTTTTTCTTTCGTTTTTTAAATGTCACATATGTGCTATTTTTTCACAGCTGGATATAGGATTGTTTCTCAACACTTAAAGATGTGCTGTTGGCCAGGACTTCTGTACCAGCTCAGTGACTGGCTGCTCTACCAACCTGACCAGCCATCCACATCCCGGTTCTTTGTGCCTTCCCCGGCCATCTACGGCTTGCCATCAGAGAACCTCTACATAGTCACCAAGGACTCAGTCAAGATCAATGTAGTCTTCATCAAACAGAGTCCTGAACTCTTTAGTCATGTTCCCACACTCATCTTCTTCCATGGAAATGCAGGCAATGTGGGCCACAGGTAAGATGAAGCATGCTGTTGTTCTGATTCAACACCATGGAGTGTTCTGTCAGGATCGCCAACCTACAAGGTCTATACCACCAGTGTGGGGTGAACATCCTCATTGTGGAGTACCGGGGCTATGGGCACAGCGAGGGCACTCCCACTGAGGAGGGTGAGTCCAGATCTCTTTAGTAACCACAGTATAACTTCTATTATTCAACTGATTTTCAAATTTCAATCAAGTTACTTAAATTTAACTGACTAAATGATAAGGCACAATTTGGATTATAGATTATAAACATAAGGTAATAAGACCATATCCAAATAAATAAATAGTGTGTGACATTTCGGTAACAACGCTGTTACCGAAACGTCACACACTATTTATTTATTTTGATTTGGTCTTATTAACTTGTGTTTAACTGACTAAAATTCAACATCTATTTTAATTCAATAAAATGAAAAACCCTCAATAGCTCAGTTGGCAGAGCGGAGGCCTGTAGATTTATAAACAGTAATCCTTAGGTCTCTGGTTCAAATCCGGCTCTGAGGGACTTTCAATAGAAGTACTTTTTCCTTGGTGTTGAATTAAAGAGGTCTGACAGAGTAGTTGTCAAAATTTGGTAGTTCATGAGATTGGACAAGTTGTAGATTTCCTTCCATTAAACTTGTCTTAACCCTTTCACTGCCAGACAGGCAAACTTGTGTTGTTAGCCATGATTGAAAAATGCTATTAAAAGTCTTATATAATGTGTTTTACCTGGATTATCATATATTTAAAAACCAATTCTAATATGCTAAGGCACAATTTGGATTATAGATTATAAACACAAGGTAATAAGACTAAATCAAAATAAATAAATAGTTTGACGTTTCTGTAACAACATTGCTGCCATCTTCAGACAAAAGTACTGGATGAGAAAATAGAGAGAGAAAAAATATGGTTTTACGGGCTACTTACCAAATCGTATTATTTTCGAGCCCAAAAATGAGAAAATATATCACAGCTTGTTTTAAATAATTACTATTTTCAAGTTTTTAAACAAGATAGCAGATAAGAATATAATTTTCTAATAACCCTAAAATATTATTCTTAGAAAACTATCTTTTTCTTCTCTGCTATCTTGTTTACACACTTCTTCCTTTTTTTTATCTTCACACTGGGTGAAGTAGATTGCGTCTGCCTTTGTCATTAAGATTGGGAGCACTACTCAGTGGCAGGCCGACTTAGCTCCAAAAGAAATGGCCGCCTCTGACATGAGGAACAGACGCCATGTGCAGCCTCTCCTAAAATGGAGTACAAACGCTGCTCATCCTGTATCCCTGGATTAGGAGCCCTTACAGGGTACTATCAGCCGGGCCAGCTGAACCAGTTTTTTAGTGAGCTTGTTACTGCTCCCCCTCCTCCTTTTTCATCTGTGCTTGGGACCGGCAAAGGCGGAGTTTTTACACACTTGATAACAGTAACTATTTAAAACATGCTGTGATAATATTTTCTCATTCGTTAGTAGTCATCGTTAGTAGCTCGTTAACCCATTCTCTCTCTCTCTCTTCATTTACTCATTCAGTACTCTTGTCTGAAGATGGTAACAACTCTGTTACACTGAAACACCACACACTATTTATTTATTTGGATTTGGTCTTATTACCTTGTGTCTACAATTTTTATATGCCTCTTATTTTTTTTTATCACATGCTAGCATGTGCATAGCCTCCGTGATAAAAATTGCAGTCATATTTCAAATCACATGCTAACATATGACAGAGAAGTCTTTAAAATGAGAATAATGCATAACACTATAAAGATTATTTTGACGTTTAAATTATTATTGTGGGTTTTCTTAGCACATTCTATGCAATAGCTCTCCCCAAGAGAGAGCCTTTACAAAACTTGCCTACATAAATAGTATCTACATTTTTTCATATAAACACATTTTAATGAAAATTGTAATATATTACTTATATTTAGAAAGAGGGAATCATATATCGCCCGCAACTCTTTTTTATTAACGCGATTAAGGAAGCTTTCGGGCAAGCCCTTCTTCAGCTAACTATAACTATTGTCGAAATCCGCAAACCGTTTACCATGAATATTACTTATAAAAAAAACTTTTTTTTGATCATTATAATTGCAAACAAGAATGGAAATCTACTGCAGAACATGGGCTGGAACAAAGTAAAAGGGAAAGACATCAATTCCCTCCTTCCAAGGGAACAGAAGTCCTTGATTTACAGACTCAAGTCTGGTCATCTACAATGGCCTTCTAGAATGTTTTCGAAGTTTTATCACTGTGTTATAATTGTGTTACGACTCTTCTCAGGCCCGTCGATGTTTGCGTTCAAGGTTTCTAAGATAACAATGTGGGTTCGTTTTGGATATAGCTTAGTACTATAGATTTATTCCCCGAGCTGTAAAGAGTAGATCAATAACTATATACAGGTAGAATGCCTCCATTGTCCGCCCCGGGTAGGTTCCTCCTCGTCCTTCTTTGCCCCGTCCTCTGGTTGTTGATCCGCACGGTCCCACTCCTCGGGACACTTCCCCTAGCCAACTTGTCGCATCCGTCATCCCCACCGTTCCCCCCCGACTGTCTTGTTGCCGCCCCCTTCCTCTGGAATCTGTCAATAAACACCTTCCTTGTGGAAGGGGGGGCTGCATACCTCCTTTACTGACTTTGCCCACATCTTCTCTTCCACTTCTTTGCTGCACCGCTTCAATTGTAATTCTCAACCTGCAACCCAAACCACATCAATGACTGCATTGGCTCATCTATTATTAGCTCTACTCATTCCCATCAGACCACCACCAAAAAGCTTGAAGATCTGCAGACTTGACACTTTAATATGATTGAGATATAAGAAAGGTTATTTAGGATGCATCAAATTCATTAAAATTGAATACCCATTGGATATTTTCTATATATCAGGAGAATAAAAGTTGTGGCCTAGATTTAAGCCTGCGTGTTAATTGCTCCTGAGAAAAGGCTCATCATCACATGCTGACATGTCAGTTATGGCCAACATAGTGAGTAGCTGGTGCTACTATAAATGTCCTCTCTTCTTCTTTCTTATCTTCACTCAATCATATTAGGGTATCAAGCTTGTAAAGCTTGAGATCATGTCTGGGTGAAGTAGAATGCATCTACCTTTGTCATTAAGACTGGGAGCACTACTCAGTGGCAGGCCGACTTAGCTCCAAGCCCGCCTCTGACATGAAACAGACGCCATGTGCAGCCGCTCCTAACATGGAGTACAAACGCTGCTCATCCTGTATCCCTGGATTAGGAGCCCTTACAGGGTACTATCAGCCGGGCCAGCTGAGCCAAGGTTTTTTAGCGAGCTTGTTACTGCTCCCCCTCCTCCTTTTTCATCTGGTCTTGGGACCGGCAAAGGCGGAGTTAATAAATGTCCTTTTGTTGTTAAACCCATCTGGCAAAACAGCCATTTGTCTCCCTATCTTTTCAGGATGTAAGATTCCAAGTTTCTCCAATTTGTGTGAGGAGAGATGGAAGGCTCTGGAGCTGTGCCAGATGATAAGAGGGTGTCAAGGCCAATAAATTTACATGCCTCATTGTGGTCTGAATGTTGCTTGTCTAACACTCCCTTGTCTTTCGAAGGTCCACTTTTAATATTTGCCATGAATTTGAATTTAAGTCTATTTTTATATTGCAAGTTATGATTTATTCTTTTTTTTTTTAGTATATACAGTAGAACCTCTCTGTAAAAGGCCACCTAGTTGCAGAACCAGCGTCCTTTAGAAAAAGGTGTTCTCTTTCCAGAGAGTTACTAATTAATAAAAATGCTAATTTTGGCAATGAAAGCTGTTCTTTGTAGAGAGGTGTCCTCTAGTGGAAGTTTCCTCTCATGGAGGTTCTACTGTATTAGTATTTTTTGTAGATTCTTTTAAATTCTAGATTTTTCGATGAGCGGATTATATATATAATGAATCACAAGGCAATTTATATGTACATTTTACTAATTTGAATTGTTCTTGTTCTTTGAGGTTATAAATTTTCAGTTAACATTTTTTTTAAACAAGATTATTTTATTTGGGTGTAAAACACATTGGTCTCATATATTAACCATTTTAATTTTTTTTTGGGACTCCTTCCCAAAGGTATAATGCCCATCATTTTATGGCACAAATTGATTGGAGCTCTAAATAAAACTCTACAAACAACACAAATACAAATAGAGCATCATCTTTATTTATCTGCAAAAAGCACAATTAGCGACACAAAGAGTTATATGCATGTAGACATTGAATTCAAATATCTATTTACAAAGGAAAAGTGTATAAGCGAATGAAAAGTTAACACTATAAAACTTCCAAAAAGTCTTTCCTGTCCCAATGTTTAGTTTTTAAGAACTTCATAAAGGCTGACTTCATGATGGGAAAATGTAAGTCTGCATTTGATAAAAAAATTCTGAAACACTTATTGTAACATTTGACTTTGCCTCAGATAAGGTTGTTCTAAACATGGAGAACAGGCTTCTTTGCTGACAATACTAAAATGAATTCAGAGGCAGCTGTTGGTTTGCAGTGCTTACCTTTGATGGCAACATACAATTGCACCATTCACCCAGTATCACCACTGTGGCTTTTTATAGGTCTAGCTCTACCATAGCTCACCACATCTGTTGATGACTGGGGCTGTTGGTCTGAGACTGCTTGTTAGATATTTACAACTAGCCACCATATCTGATGGCTATTTTCCAACTGGAGTCCTCCTGCATTGCCTGGTAGAATTCAGCTCTCCCCCAACAACTTTATTTATTTCAACACATGTGAGATCCCGGCTAGGGATAAACACATCGATTTACATTTTTAAACAGCTCTTCCCCAAGATCTCCAAATAGTAAGCTATTATAAGCTAATGGTACCATCACATCAAATATTTATCTTGAAGACATTGGTCCTTTGATGGTAATGTTGGCCCATTCGATGAACTGGTGTAGAACAAATATCTGTTGTTCCCCACTGTCACTCTTAGGCCTTTCATTCTAACTGGCTTTTTCAATCATACCATGGTCCCACCTAACCAAGGCCAGCAGCATTTCTCAGTTTGTCCCACACACATGTGCATAACTGATATCAAGTTTCACAAGGAAACAAAACCAAATACAAATAAGTAAATTTGATGTACCAATTTGGTAACAGTGTAATTTGCTTATTTGGATTTGGTCTTGTCACTACGATTCAAATCTAAATAAGAAATTGATATACATATATAAATTACTTTTTCTCCTGCAAGCATGTATAATTATCAATGGAATTAGGAATATTAGGAAGTCTTCCATTCTAACCAGCTTTTTCAATCATTCCATGGTCCCACCTAACCGAGGTCAGAAGCATTTCTCAGTTTGTCCCCCACACACACATATGCACAACCGATGTCAATTTGGTTATCAATAAGTTTCACAAGGAAACAAGATCAAATACAAATAAGTAAATTTGATGTACGATTTTGGTAACAGTGTAATTTGCTTATTTGGATTTGGTCTTGTCACTGTGATTCAAAGCTAAATAATAAATTGATACACATGTATAAAT